ATCTTACATGCACAACTAATGCCCCAATTGAAAACTCATTAACTTGTATATTGTATACATTCTGTAAATTAATGTTTCAATTTGCAAAGAGATTTTTAGAAGTTCCACTTAGACTTTACGAATTATATGGAGTCATTGGAATTTCATTGGACTTCTTTCATAAACACCATTAATGCACTAAGTAAAAAACACATTAGAATTGCAAGAATTCTAGAAGTATCATATTATGGCTTCTTCACAAAAAAAAAAGATAAACAAAAAGAATCAATCACGTGCGGATCTCTCTTAAAAAAATTTCAATAGTTCACTGCACCTTCTAATATTGGTAATGTTTGTTCCTTGTGCAGATACTTACTTAGCATGATAATGGGGAGTTTAGTAGAAAGGAATGACACATTGCATAGTCCACGACACGAGGAACATCTTTTCTTCTTGGCCCAAGTAGATTCAAGCACCCAAGATCCGTAGATTGGAGAGAGCGAAAATAAAATGTCTTTCTCCTTTCTCTTCTATCGGTGAATGAGTGATATTTCTCTCATTTTAATACCCTCAAACACTTGCCCACAAAACGATCAAATTTCTGAGTCCGTTTTTGTCCTAAAACGATCAAATTTTTTCCCGGTTTAAGTTTAAAATTATTTTTATTTAACTTGAAGTTATACTTATTTTTTAAATTTTATTAAAAATTTTATTTTTGGGTTACCGAGACTCGACTGTCTCGTAAAACACAAAAATCTAACTCGAAATTTGACAAAAAATTGACAGGGTCGTAGCTAGATTTTGCGAGAGGAAATCCAACGGTGAGGTCTGTTTCGTCATCTGAGGTTAAAAATTTCGAGTTTACAACTTGTACTGTAGTGACAAAAAACAATTTTTTCATAAAAAATTTAAATTTACCCGGATTTTACACCAGAAAAGTATCCTAAAATAATTTTACCTAAATAAATCTCATCCATGAGTTCACCAATGGTTGTTTCGATCATTAGATACACAAAAAAAATATATATTTCGTCTCTCCAGAAGAAGGTGAAAATTTTCTAGATCCTAAAGCACTATATCTCAACGCAATTAGTGCACCGATGTATCTTGCAAATTGTATAAGTCAGACATATCATTTTAGTAGTAACTTATAGCCAATGTACAACACAACACCAACTTCAAAGGCATTGAAATGAAATCAAACATGTTATTGCGTATTTTTTGTGGAATGGTGGACACGGGGTTATTCTATACGAATGACAAAAGTCCATCGTTAATTGAATATGTAGATGCCGATTACCTTTCTAATCCATGTAAGAAAGACCCAATCACAGGTTGGATATGTGGTTTACTTATGGTGGTACATAATATATGTGTTTACTTATGGTGGTACAATTATATCATAAAAATCAGTTAAACAACACATGGTTTGTACATCATCCAATTAATTCTGAAAATTCCATGAAGCAAGTCTTCTTCAAACATATTCAAGAGCAAAATGAACTACCTTTAATCAAAGTCATTTCAACAATATTATACGAGAATAATACAACTTGTATTGCACAACTCAAGAAATGATATATCAAATGTGATAGAACAAAACATATCTCACTAAAGTTCTTTTACACCCACGTTAGAGTATAATGTTAATATATAATGTTCAGTACATTTATTCGACTAAAAAATCTAGCAGATTTGTTCACTAGAGCACTCTCATTGACTACATTCTAGAAATTGGTGAACCAAATCGAAATGCAGCATCTCATATATTTATCAAGTTGAATAGTCATTATTTTGGATAGATGTATTTAATAGAGGGAGTCATGTACTCTTTTTTTTTTTTCGCTAAAGTTTTTTTTCATTGAGTTTTACTTAGAAAGATTTTTAATAAGACAATGTTTAGGATCCTAATCGGACAATTTGCATGCTGTATTGTTTTTCCTTCGATAAAATTTTTTTCCATTGAGTTTTACTAACAGTTTTTAATGAGCTAACATTCGGGAGCCCGACACTATCTTGGCACAGTAAGTGTTGAAAATATTGGACATCCACACGTGGGTGGATGATCACAACTATAATACTCATTAAAGGAAAATGCTATTTGTCTTTATCAGGGGCAGATAGCTTGTACCCCCTACTTTATATAAAACTATTAGGGGATTGAATGAAAAATACACTCTCTTTATTTGGTTTTTGAATTTTTTTTATTTTTTTATTGTAGGGTATAAAAGCTTATGCGTAGTATTCCTTCAAATTTAAATATTTGGCCAAAGTAATTTGAGCGAACTTAGAAAGAAATGAGAATGATTTGTTTGCAGCTAATGATTTGTTAGTTTTATTATCATAACAAGGTTGATTCACATTTCAATTTTTTACGCTTCCCAAGAATACACCATCCTCAATCCAATTCCAAAACCTTTTCGCATCTCTCTCCCAGTCATTTTCTAATATAGACAGTTTACAAGTGGTCCATTCTCACCTACCTCTTCCCCAACTTTGTATCTATCGAATTCATGTGTAAAGGAACAGGAAAAAGAAGAGTTCATGCGTAAACTTTCGCATGCTGACGCGGTGATCCCACGTTTTACTTTCCAAACATGCTGTGTATGAATATCAATATAGATAATAAGTGTGTTTGATCTTGAAGGGATAATTAGCATTGAGGGATGTCTGTTGATCTTGAATCTCTGTCAGAGGCCACCTCAGGAGCTATTGGGGCTCTTGTGAGCACCACCATCTTGTACCCTCTTGATACCTGCAAGGCTAAGTACCAAGCTGAGATTCGAGTTCACGGTCAGCAAAAATACAGGTGATCTCTCTCTCTCATGATTTCCTTAATTGATATGCTTCCGTCATATTTTCTGGTGATCATGGCTAGTATTTGCTGAATTGGGTTTTCTTTGTTAAATCTAAATATATGGGTCCTTGGTGAATCACTTTAATTTTGTGTAGAGAGTTTGGTGGAATGTTATATTTTTTGTTTGTTATGTAATTCATAAAATTTAATAATTTAGGTCTCTGTGAATTACTTGCTTTTTGTACAACACCAGGTGGCATGTTGGTTTGTGTTGCTTTTAATCTGTGATTGTTCTATAATTCATGAAATAGGTTAGTTGTACTGGTTCTAGCTACACTTGTACTGTAAATAGTATGTTGGGTTGTGTTCTTTATCATTATTTGGTATTTACTTGATGAACTTGTCAGAAATGTTATTTGAAAGTGAGACCAAACTCATCTACCATTTGTGACAGCAATTGATCTTGCTGCATATCATGATAAATTTTGGCCATCCCATGGATCCTGAGGCATGAAATGATACAAACTGTTCTGATTAGTCAGAGGGAGTAGTAGTCTTCAAATTCAAATGCTATTTCTTCCAAAACCTTTTCCAGTGTTTATCTGTAACTAAATTTTGATACGATCAAGTAATTGAAATTTGAAACTATCAGTCCAAACTGATATTATGGGAATCCTTGGTTGGTTGGTATTGACTTGGCGATAAGTGACGTTTCCTTCATCCCAGAGTGATTGACGAAGGAAAGATCATTGGTCCAATGAAAATCCCTACCTAATTGTAATGCATGCAATTTCATATTCTATGTCTACTATAATTTGATGCCTTGATTGGCAATCACTCTATGTTGTATTTACAATGTTTAGGGAAACGAAACATTTGAGTGTAAAGTACAAAATTGTTCCCAAGGTTGAAATAGGTATGTGGTGAATCTGATTGGCGCTTTCTGCCCTCTAATTCACCTTCTATGTCAATCCCAATCCATTTGGTTTCTTGTTTGGTTCATAGCTTAGCAGTTTCTTAAATGTTAGTGTTCTTGAGTTACTCATTTCTCTTTAGCTTTCAGTTATATCACCAGGTAATTCCTAATCCAAAATTTTAGTTGTACCTCCATCGTGATTTTGACATTTAGGATATCCAACTGGTGTTATGGTGAAAAGCTACTTCCATAATCTGTTGTTACTAATTTGTGTCTTTTGCTGAATGAACTCAATATTTCAACAGTTCTTATGTTATTCTTGTTAACCACACCTTATGAATTTCACATGTACAGTTTTCCATTGCTTGCGTAATTGCATTGGGTTGTGGTGCTGTATTCCTTAGCGTTGTTAATGGATACACTTCAGGTTCTGGTTTACGGTTTGTACATGTGTATTGCAAGTGTTTTCAGAGAATGTGAACTGGCCAGCCCAACTTTTTATATTTGAAGGCTTTTAATATGGTGTTGGCTGAAGTAACATAGCTTCGATGGCAATTTCAAAGTTGTGGAGAAAACAAATTGTCAATATGTGCTATATGGCAAGCTTTCGGTTGTGATGCTTGCCCGTGACCTCTAGCTCCTATCTGTCATTAGATCTTCCTATGACAAGCTAAACGGTGTATTATCAAATAAACGATACATAGGAAGGTAGGCTCTGCTTTACCCTCATTCTTCTTAATTTTTCAATTCAGAACTTTTTGACATGCTGCAAGCTAAAGGTTTCAATTGTAATCTGTAATTAACTTTGGTGAACCAGGGCTGACATACATTCATGGAGATGTAAAGCACAAATATTTTCTATTACATATCCAAGTTTTTGTTCTTCAAATTTGTGCTTAAATGAGTCATTCTGGTACTAGGAGCAAATTGAAAGCGTATACATAGTTTCAAAACAATGCATGGTGAAACCTAGACTGGGTAAAAGTGGATTGATCCACCTTTCTTTTCCGAACAACCTCTAATAAGAGATCTCACAAACTTGACAGAACTCTCTTAAGTTTCTATTCAGAACTCTTGGACATGCTGAGTGGAGGTTTCAAATACAACTAACCAGCAATTAATTTTGGTGAACCGGGGCTTTATTGCATACATGGATGCCAAAATAAAAGATATTTCTCAGTAGTTATCTAAGTCTTTGTGCTTCACATATGGATTTAATCAGTCACTGTAGTAGTTTTTTCTCCACTAGTTTGTACGGTCCACGAATGAAGTCCATCACCGTACAGTTCTAGTCATCCAGTAATGTGGCCTCTTTGGACATAGACCTTTGATGTAGCAGACAGATGTTAACTTTTATTTATGATGTTTGTTGTAATATCCATGCATTTGGGTCATTTGAAATCATTTTGGGGCTACTTAGGCATTTGCAACCTATGAAACACGGACACTCTCGAGAACGTAACGTATCCGTGTCGGACACATATCGGACACCGACACTCTTCGGACACTTTCGGACACGTGTCCAATACTCTTTTATCCGTATCCATAATTAAATGATAAATTTTTAATTTCGGACACTTCTTTGATGACGTGTCCGACACTTCTTTAGAACGTTTCTACTATTAAACAATTGACATTTGTTGAAATGAGATTAACAAATCTTAAAAATTTGAGAAAATATAATTACTAATACTAGTCAGTAAAGTTGTACTCCAAATATAATAATAAAAACAAAACACGCATAAAAGTTTTAAAAAAGAGGAATTGAGAAAGTGAGAGTAACTATTAAAATTATATATTAGGTACACATCGTCTACAAAAAAAAATTGATGATTATTGATCATAAAGAGAATGTTTTAGTCTAAAAATTCACATAGATGACTAGACATTAGGTTTTCTTATAAAAAAATACTGATTTTTTTATGAATTGTATATTATTATCACTATATTTGCAATAAATTATATAATGTTATATATAAAATATAATTTTTTTGTAGCGTGTCCTCAACGTGTCCGTGTCCTACTTTTTTGATAAATGTCGTATCGGCGTGTCCGTGTCGTGTCCCGTATCCGTGTCCATGCTTCTTAGTTTGCAACTATTACCTTGCCCTATTTTTCATTGACAGCTCAATATCTTGTACACATCCTACCAGTTTTCTTTTCTGCGACCTTTTCACTGTTTACGAACTCTATGAGCTCTTTTGGTGCAAAATTTTCAGCTACATTTGGAATTCATGCTTCCAGAGTTGCATCATTCATTTTTCTTGTCTATGCTGCTTACCCATGTCTTAAAATTAACATTCTGTGGCTGTTCTGAGGAAGGATTGGTTAGTTTTGAGAAAATTAAAGTGTTTGGTTCATAAAAGTTAAGTTTATATGGGCATCTGCATTCTGAAGGCCTTGTATTTCCTACTTGTTGTCAATATTCATGCAATGAAATACTGGTGCCTGAGGACCTTGTCATGCTGTTTTAGTCTGTGATGGTTTGTCCTTCCTTCACTACCTCCGCTGTGAGACTGTATTGAATATTAGCAATAGTTCCTTCGATCTGTGTCTGGTCTTCTTAGTAACCGCTAGTAGTTTTTTGGATAAATGATTATCACTTTTACTTGCGAGTCTAAAGTTGTCTGTGAGAGCTCCTAAAGTGGCATGGGATACTCTAGGAAAACCTGGCGACAATAGGTTTGCTTTCTTATTTGTACATTTGTTTAAGACATCAGTAGTATTGGACCTCACTGACTGTGGCTTTTGCAGACACTTTATAGTTTCCGATTTACGGGGATCGTAGCATTTGCTGAAGTTCTGTACTGTCTGTCCTGTGCTGCTGTGTACAATACTGTAGCTGGACTAGTGAGGCTATTTTAGTTTCTTTGTTTGATTTATTGGTACCATGGGTGTAAAGTTGGTATTATAATTAACTATTGGCCCAAGAGCATTTGTTAGTGGGATCAAATAGTTTTATGTCGAAGCTATGAGAGCAGCATACGGGCAATAGAGATTTCTAGTTGCTAATGACTTGCCTTAGGCTTATATGTTGGTCCAAGAACATTTGGATTTGCTTCCTTGGTACCATGCAGGAGGTTTTCCTCTTTGTTTTCCTAAAGCTCTTTGGGAGATTGACAACGAATGTTCATTATATTAGTCCTATCAAATGTTTCCTTTAGGTGGCAAGTGGCAATAGTTCCTCAGTATTTCCAGTGTGCTAAACAGATTTGGTATGCAATATGGAAGAAGATGCTTTTGTAGAGTCGATATCAGCGTTGGACAGATAGTGCTTATTGGTTGAGTAGTATGGGCCAGCTAGAGAAAAGAGTTCAATGATTTAAAACATGGGAGTGGGATCAAGGGACTTTAGGATTCTGTATCTTTTGACAGAAAAGGACAGAAGGACAGCGAAAGGGTGAGAGAGGGTTTTTAACCTTTTTCGGTCATGGTGATAGTATATCTGTTTGGCTTGACAAACCGACAGGTAACTGATTCTCTTAGTTTTGTTTTGTTCTTTCACAAAGGTTGATTGCAATGAGAATTTCGGCAATGAAGATTTAATGGAGAACAGTGTAGTTCTTCCTATATTCTTTTTATTAGTCCTACATTAAGTTTTGTCCGCTTCACTTCCTTTGTCCCTTGACGACTGTACTTTATTCACAAGCCTTTAGTTTTTGTAGTTTTCTGATAAAAATTTAAGTATTTTTCCTCTCGACTCTCATAAGAAATTGTGTGGCCCTTTGGAACTATTAACTTTATTCAAACACTTTGAGCACTCTGGAGTCTGGATTGTTGAGCGGTTTGCTGTGAAGATATTATTTGTTGAGATGATGAAATATAAGGGAGTAGTCTACCTTGAATGGGAGACGAGCTCTAGATATATATTTATTAAATAATAATAATAATCTATTTTACTAATAAGAAAATTTTTTGAATCTCTATTTTACCTTTATCAAAGATTGCAGAGACTACTCTACCTTTCACAATTAAATATTTAAATTACCATAATATTTTTATGTATTTAAATATCCAAATTATCTATAACATCTCTTTTAATTATCTATTCTTTATGTAAAAATATTAGTTTCTATAAAAAAATTTGACTGGTTACCTTAAAAAGATATGCATCATTATATTTTCAATAAAGTGTTCAAAAAACCTTAAAAAACTCCACCAATCTAATATTACTCATCTCATAAGCAAAGATAACATTATGGTTACATATATGTATTTTCTTTTCATCAAAAAGTTTAACCCTTTCATTTCTAAGATAAAAAATAATTGTATATATAATTTTTTAAAATTAATTTATGTTAAATTAGTATAATTCTTTAGTCACAATAAACTTTTTCAGTTGTACTAAGATTTTATATAAAAATAAATATTGTATTGTATTTATGAAGTTTAAAAAATTTAATTTCTTAAATATCAATTAAAAATAAATCTCAATCACAAAATTCTAAAAAAAATGGAACTTTAGTTATTTTTTAAATTTTTTTTATAGTTAGAATAAAGAATTTTGGAAACATACGAAATTTTCATATTCTCATAATAGAATATGAGTAATGAAAAATTAAGTTTGATAAATTTGAGATGATATTTAATTTAGATACATATATACCTAATATGTTTTATTTAAGTCAATTATATTCCTATATTTACCTTCATCGAATTTTTGTTTTTATACCTTTGACTTCTAAGTTCTTTTGAATTCTTTTATAGCTAGTATTTGACTTTCAAATTATTTTATCTATGTCTATGTCTATATCTATATTACGAAGCAAAGACAATTCTATATTTTTTTATTCTATACATGTAGTTATCAAATCGAATTCTAAGATCAAAATATATGTTATATTTGATTTTTTTTTCAATAATTATCTTTAACAAGAAATAAAACATAGATTAATTCTCCCATACCAAATTTATTATTTAATTTAATTACACATAAAATTCATATTTTCATAGATTCAACAAAAAATTATTATTTAAATTGTTTATGTGCAATGTACGTCGTCCATTGATAGTATATGTATTAACTAGAAATTACAAAACTGTGAAGATCAAAGCATTTAACCTAAGGTTTATAGTGGAGATCAAAACAGCAATATGCAATGGGATTCTCTTCCCCACAATGAGTACACTTTTTGAACATTATTAGTCCCACTACCTCTAGCTTGCCTGCGGCCTGTACCATAACCATCAAATCGAGAATTTTAATGTCCAGCACCACGACCTCCAAAACCAGTATTAGTACTCCATCTTTCAAAACCACCAACTGTTTGGATTTCTTATCCAACATTTTTTGATGTACTTCTTAATACAAGTTCTTGTTTCCTATAAAAAAAAAAAGAGAGAGAATAGATCAATAGTGAAAACTTTTCCAATCTCAAAGTGTATGGCATATATCCAGTAGTAACTTGAACAATTTTAACATACACATTACTCAAAGAAGGAATACTTTAGTTACTACCAAAATTTGAGCCCATAGAAGATTTGGATAAAGTTTGGGAAGAAATTTAAAAATGTACGACTCTAAATTTTGGTTCATAGGAATCTCCGATCACTAGTGAAAAGGTGATATTGATTCAAAGGCCGTTGAAGGTGCTATAGTAGTCATACACAAACTTAGAATTCTTTTGAAGAAGGAACAAGTTCTTGTAAACCTTATACACTTGAGATATATTTTCGCCCTCAGTATGCCTCACGAACAACCTCCCAAATCTCCTTAAAAAATGGAAAAAACAAGAAATTTGCCCACACGTAGTTCTTGGATTCCCATTCCTCATTATTCTTATCATTGGAAGATGGAGGATTCATACTATTTCGTAACTAAGACATAACCACATAGTTCTCGGATTCCCATTCCTCATTGTTCTCATCATCAAAAGATGGAGGATCAGATGGAATGTATTTCAACTTCCTCCTAGCCCTTAATGCCACCTTCATAGCTTGTGCCCACTAGCAATAATTGAAGTCATTTGATTTTTTGGTAGTGATTTGCACATTAATGCAAGGTTCAAAGCATCGGCTGATACTGATACAATCAGCCTAGTCATATCTGACTCGGTTCTTCCATGTCGATATTGTTCCCCGTTAAGTATAAACTCCACGTTTCGCACATGTTGGTTGAGTCATCCAGATTTCTTCGGATTAACCCCGAGTCTTCGAGTTATTGTCATCGAATCGGCTGATACTGTTTCTGGACAGCCCGACATGACTTGAATTTCTCGCCATGTTCAACTTCTTCTTTTAGTTCGTATTGCTCAACACCGTTCCGTGATGCCGCGATCCATGTATCTCAGAGCCTCCCGAGTTGATGGTCAATGCCATGACCTTCAACCGCAATGACATTAGAGGATATAGTCGTTGCTACATTCACAGTACTAGAGTTGGCAATCCGCCATAAATTAAAAAAACCACACAAATCTACATAAAAAACTCTTAACAATAACCTTTAGTACACCAATAATTTTATGATACCACAAAGCACCACCCACATAACCAGAACTATATGAGTCAAACACATGATTGGAGGAGCTCTGGATTGGTTTCTGTTTCTGTTTCTGTGGTTTTTTTTTTAACAATGAGGTCAGATACGAGTTGTATTCTGATTCTTGGAAGAAAAGAAATATGCTTCTCGGGCATTTCAATCTATTTATTACAAACAGTCAACTATTTGGCCCCCTTATTCTTCCAAAAATTTTAGTAAACGATTAGTTTGATTTTTATAGTCCCCCTACTCACATCCCACTTTTTTTGCAGGCACAAATTTATATTATCAGTAATCAAGGCTTACTATTTGTCCATAGACTATAGTACATGTCAACTCATTTTCTATGGCTTATGCAGGAACCTGTCGGATGTTTTTGCAGAGGCAATATCTACCCATCAGGTCCTTTCATTGTACCAGGGCCTGGGAACCAAGAACTTGCAATCTTTCATTGCTCAGTTTGTCTACTTCTATGGGTACAGCTACTTCAAAAGGTTGTATCTGGAAAGGACTGGTTTCAAATCCATTGGAACAAGAGCTAACTTGATTCTTGCTGCTGCTGCTGGGGCATGTACTGCCATTGTGACTCAGGTAGTTTTTTTTATCATTCTGCAATCTCCAGCTTGAAATTGTTTTAAAAAACGTGAAACTGGTGATGCAGAACCTGAGAATGCTATCTATATTGCAAACCTCAATTTCAGCTTCTGTTTTGTTTGGCATTATAAATGTAATTTAATGATGTACTTGGTATCATGAAGACCTAGAAAAGACTTTATAAAGGGTGAAGTGCAAATGTTACTTCAGCTGAATTTGGCAAGGAACTGAAGAAATTACTCGATGTTGCGATTGTATGACTAGATTCTTTAGTATGATTTGAAAAACCAAAGAATGACATTTATTTTGTGAAATACCCAACTTTTCTGTTATTTGAATAAAAACTTTATAGACTGAATTACCCTGCAGTTGGTTTCTGATTACATGTAGGAAAAGGAAGAAATTTTATATACATGGGCTGGAGTGGTGGTAAAAAATTTATATACATTGGGCTAAATTTTTTTTTCTGTTTGCCTCCTGGAATCCTAGGACAAATAGGGGTTGCAATGGTTTTTGTATCATGCAAATTTTCTTTCATTACCCTTCATCATCTTGTTCAACTAAATGTAACATATGTTTCACTTCTAAAATTTTTTGTTCAAACCACCTGATATTACTATGTAGCCACTGGATACAGCATCATCGAGGATGCAGACAAGCGCTTTTGGAAAATCAAAAGGGCTTTGGCAAACACTTACGGAGGGCAGTTGGAGTGAAGCATTTGACGGCCTTGGCATCTCTCTTCTTTTGACTTCGAACCCCGCAATTCAGGTACTCGATCTTACCTCAAGAAATGATGTTATTATCCTAAAGCAAACAACTTAAACATGCACATTTTCCTTTAAATAGAGAACATTTAAACTGATACTAAGTTTTAATTACTGCAGTATACGGTGTTTGATCAGCTCAAACAAAGACTTCTTAAGGAGAAGCAGAGTAAAATGGAGAAGGGTTCAACCCCCGAAGCCCTTTCTGCTTTTTCCGCTTTTGTGTTGGGTGCGGTTTCGAAGAGCATTGCCACCCTTTTGACATATCCAGCAATCAGGTTTTTTAGTATCCTTTCATGCTCTGTTGCATTTAACAACTTGACCATATTTGGAGCATTTAATAAAGATTGCAAATAGGTGTAAGGTCATGATCCAGGCTGCAGACTCCAGTGACGACGGGGCTAAGAAAGAGCGACAAAAATCCCGCAAAACAATATCTGGTGTTCTTCATGCTATTTGGAGAAAAGAAGGGGTGCTGGGCTTCTTTAAGGGATTGCGGGCTCAGATCTTGAAGACTGTATTGAGCTCTGCATTGCTTTTGATGGTAAAGGAGAAAATCACTGCAACCACTTGGGTACTTATACTTGCAATCAGAAGGTCTCTACTGCTAACAAGGGGTACGATAACAGGTGGATGAGTTAGTTGGAAATATGGACTTCATAGAATAAACGAACTATACAGTGCTCGAGTAGGAAGCTCTAGGTCTGGCAAAAATGCTGCACTTCTTGTTAAACGATAATCGTGCAGAGCCCTGAATAAGACAGTATGAACACATGACTGTTATGTAGCTGAAACCTCAGAAGTAGTTCCATTATAAGAGAGAATCTGATGCCGGATATTCACCAATACATAGACATAGAGAAATACTAACATTAGTCCGTGTTGGTGCTTCACCTCAGAATAAACTTATATCTGGAATTGAGAGCTCTGCATTCTATCAGAATAATTTCTTCGGTCTCATCTTGAGGTAATCATAGGTTTATTTTCAACTTGGCATGTAAGGAAATCTTTAAATGGCATGTGTTTGTGAATCTAGCATGTTTTTCATTCACTTGGAATGAGTTTATTAAGGTTGTTCACAGATCATATAGCTCTATATTTTATGATGCTTATAAATTGTCAAACAGTTTATGCTGATGGGTTTATTGTCCCAGCCCGTGCTGGCTTCTTCTTCCTCTTTTTGTTGATTTGTTTTCTCTTTTTTTTTTTTTGGCTTTTGTAGAAGTGGTCATCGAATGGAAAACCATTCGATGACAAAAGGATATTTGGTTGTTAAACCTAGGTGATTGTGCTAGTCCACATCCTGGAGCCCTATATTGAACCAACTTATGGTGTTTGTGTGCGTGTGTGCCGATATAATATGCATACTGTAAGGGGTAGAAATCGTTACGGATCTCATCCCTCCACTTGAAGGATTTCGGCTGACCTGGCGGCACCGAACTCCCGTAGCCTTTACCTCTCTTCGCCAATAGGACCCTTTCCTAAGACAATTCCACATCGAAAGACCCTGCCATATAAGTGAACACTTCCTATGGAGGAGGTACCCACTAGGCACCTGATCAGGTCGCTAGTGGGTACCTCCTCCATAGGAAGTGTTCACTTATATGGCAGGGGGGAAGATGACTCTCTTCCGATGTGAGATTGCCTTAGGAAAGGGTCCTATTGACGAAGAGAGGTAAAGGCTACTGGGGCTCGATGCCGCCAGGTCAGCCGGAATCCTTCAAGTGGAGTTTCCAACTGGGGTAACTAAATATGTCTTTTCTCTAGCTCAGCCATTTTTAAACTACTCTCTATCACTAAATATCTATTTGAGAAATAAAAACGAATCAGAGTTTCCAACTGGGGTAAGGTTCTTCAATTTTTCTCTCAACCTTTTGGTGGAACCCCTTCCTACAATAAATTATATGCATTTGTCTTGAATTTTATGTCATAGTCTACCAATTACATCATTTTGATTCTTTTCAATATACTTTTCTCTAATTTCGCTTAATAGAATTTAAGTATGACTATTATTACATAAGTGGGTCCTTCATCGATACATGATTAGTGATTTATCTTTGAGAAAACAATATAATGGATGAGATATAAATACAAGCTACTCAAGTGTAAACACAAAATACATAAAAAGGCCGGCTGATTTGTCATGAGAAAATTCATAAGAGATTGTTTGAACAAAGTTCAATGAAGAAGAAAAGAACAAATAACTTTATTGTGCAACACAAAATAAAAAATGTACAATGACCTGAACTGATAATTATGTTATAAACTCTTTCTTTGTAGTAAAAAATAACCACGACAACACTAGCATATGATTGTTATTCAAGCACAGAAAGAAGAAAAAGGAGCGAAGAGTTTCTAAGGGTTTGTGGTTGTACCCAAATAAAGCACAAAACTACAACTCACGAACTCATGCTCACACAGACATTGCACCAAATAAAGCAAAAAACTATAATTACTCCCTCATATCCTACAAAACTATGTTCCACAAAAAAGTAGTGTTAAATGACCTTCAATTTATACTCTCTGTAAAATGATGATTGCTTCAATACCAATGTGGATACCCATTTCTTCCTAGTGTTATCTCGACAAGAGATTTTTGCAATAACTCATCAAGAGATATATGGATACCAATTACTCTTGTCTTGCACTAGTCACCTAATACATGTTCAATATCATCAATAACAATGATACCAAGGCAGCACGAATTAGTTGTAGTAATCGGTCAGATATCTGCAAAATATCTTGTAACATTGTTGTAGCATCTCCTTAACAGTTCAAATTTCTCACAAATTTCTCACCCGAGTCTTTTTTCCGTGATTTTTTTGTGGGTAGTTTTTCAACCAATTAACTCCCAAAATTCAACCCCCAAAGTAGATCAATGCTTTTGTTTTAAAAAATGGGGAAAGATAAAACTAGGCCTCAAGCTTTGGATTTCTTTCCTTTCACTTCTTTGGTTGGTGCTTGCAAGAAAGGAAGAAATGTCTCCCCACCCATGTACTCTCGCAACACTTCTGGTACCTCAACACCATCCTCCTTCTGGTAGTTCTCAAGGATGCAGCACATTGTTCTTTCTGTCGCTGTGAGGGTAGAGTTCAACAAATGTACGTATTGCTTTGCCTGCTCGTTGTTCTGCATCACATTTGCAAGAGGAAAACAATCAGAATTTCAAAGCAACATTAAAAAAGAAATTCAAGAATGTATTCAACCTGCTAAAAATTATAATAACTTGTAGAGTGAAGGATGCACCTCATATTGTCATAAAGTGCAAATAGAATGAATTAGTTCTGCCTCTCACTCTTAAAGTACATCAATTATGCGTTTGCTATATTATGCCTAAATTTTCTTAAGAAAAAATTGCCCTTTCATTCTTTCAATGGAGAAAACCCTTGACAGTAGTCAGGAATGTAGAGATGGACAAGGCTCAGTTCAGCAATAATAACAAGAAATGCAGTTCAGCATCTACCTTCTTCTGCCCATAGCGAATTTCTAATCTCCTTGACTGATAGTCTGTACAATTTGAGCAGGAGACAAGCTCTCTGTAAGTACTGGATGAAGGAAACCACCCTTCCAAATCATACTTCTTTGCAGCTGCATCATTCAATGCACCAGAAACGATGGCCACAACTTGATAGGGAATTTTCAACTGTAAAACAAAGAAAGGTCAGATCTTCTACGGAACAAAAAGGCATCAATAGAGGAGATTGTCCAGGTGTCACAAATGGAGACCCATACACAACTCTGCATATTCTTTGTCCCAAGTGGCAGAGTTTAGCATCACCAAACCATCAGGCTCATGAATCACTTGTTTTTCTTGAAATATTGAAAGCTAGCAGGATTAACTATGCAAGTATGTCTATGGCACAAAATCTAGCATCTTCAGACCAAAATTATGTGCAGTAGGTTCACATATGACACCTTCAGCCCAAAAAAAAAGGTTCACATATGACATAACACAAGGAAGAATGTAAACTAGAAAAGGTAACATAAATAAAATTAAAATTGTGAGCAAAAGGGTAAATTTCACAGACACCCCCTGGAATAATTTTAATAATAAGGACACCCCCTAGAGTTTCTGAAATATCACTGCCTGTCAGATTTTGTCTTTTAACGAAATAGACAGAAATTGTATTTTTACACAATTACCCTTAAATTTATCCTCCATTCTTGGGCAAGCCATTTTCACTCTCTTTCACGCACACCATCCAACAAAACTAATGAATTTCATCAATTTCAAATTTATTTTTATTCAATTACCATTCATGTCATCCATTTAAAATTTAATTTCATCAATCCAACCCAAAATTAAACATTGAATCTCATCAAATTAAGAATGAATGAACATTTAATTTAAATTAAGAATTCATTAATGAAACCATAGGGGGGTGTCAATTAAATTTAGGCAAGAAAAAAAATATATTCCATTATTTTCGTAGGATAACAAGGACAGAAAAACTTATACCATCTTATAGAACTCCTCAGAGTTTTTGAGCATTTCCTCGTGCATTTCCCAGGAGTCGTTGCCATTTGGGCTTGTAAGGCAAAACTGTTCCACTTTCTCAAACTGATGCACTCTGAAAATTCCAAGAGTATCCCTTCCATGCGAACCAGCTTCTTTACGGAAGCAAGATGAATATCCAGCATACCTGGCATATTGTGCAGTATTAATTGACAAAAGTAACTGCCATTCTTTTGTAATTTGTGAAGAGGTCCTTTCGCACCCAGTAAAGCAACTATAGTTAATAGAAAATGTTCTAACCTTAATGGCAATTGTGAAGGATGAATCCAATCATCAAGATGATAAGCACAAAGTGGCTGTTCAGCAGTAGCAATCAAATACTTATCCTCTCCCTCACCAGTTACCTATTAAAAAACAACTAATTAGGCCTATTTTGGCAAACAAAAATTGAAGAAACAAGTAATTATGCAACCACCTTCATTTGAAGCAAGACAAACCTTATCTATTAAAAATGTCAGCATTACACCACGCCAATGGACTTGGCAAAAAGGCACCACAGAAAATACCTCACTTAATTCATAAGGCAGTAATATGAATTGCAAACGTAAATCAATAAATAGTATATGCAGAACAAATATTTTAGTTAGATAGTGAAGTTGTAGGGTCTAGAGAGGCGAAGAGAACTTAGAGAAGAGAAAGATAAGTAAGAATATGTCTAGGGTTGTGTATCTCACCACATAACTAATCCCAGCTATTATATGAAAACACAAGTACTAAAATACCCTTAAACTAAATAAAGCATAACATAACACTCCCCCTCAAGTTGGTGTATAGACATCTCGCATGCCCAACTTGCAAACAATAGGGTAAAAAATCTTGCCACCAAGTCCTTTAAGTGAAAAAGTCTACCAACTGACCTTCTGATTTCACCAATGGCATAGAAATCAAACCCTTGTTCAGCTTTCTTTGATGAAGTATCGATCAATCTGAATATGTTTGATTCTATCATGTCAAACTGGATTATGAACAATATTGATATATATTATCACACTATAGTCTCATAGGTCCATCATTAGAAATTCCCAACTCTTCCAGTAAAATTTGGAGCCACATAAGCTCACAAATTCCACGAGCCAGCCTTGTACTCAGCCTCTGCACTTGACTTAGCTACTATGGCTTGTTTTTTGCTTCACCAAGTAACAAAGTTCCCTCCTTTCAAGCTGCATTAACTTGAAGTAGACCGAGTGTCGTCTACTGAACCAGCCCAATTTACATCAATAAATGTTTCTAGTTTTAAGTAACCATGATTTGAAAATAAACTACTCAAGATGAAGAACTCAAGGATTATGCATGAATTGATTGACAATAACCACCGTTGAGTGTGTGAGAAATATATCAATCTTAGTACCTTTCTTTATCCACTATATCACCAAAGACATTACTCAATCGATAATTTGCTTTAATAGGCAAATTAAAAGGCCTATAACCCAACATACCTGTTTCTATAAGAAGATCAGTAACATACTTCCTTGGTAAGATAAAAATACCTTTATTTGATTTCACAACCTCAATCTCAAGAAAGTATCTCAGTGGATTCAAGTCTTTGACTTTAAATTCCTTAGCCAACCGAACTTTCAATTTAGCGACTTCTTGGTAGGGTAAAACTAATAATCAAACCAAGCTACTCGGACTCAGCTCGAGCTCAGCTCATGTTCTAAATAAGCTAAACTTGAGTAATTTGTTAGCCTCGTTTAAAAGGTTCGAGTTGAACTCAACTCATTTATATGGAAAATAGTTGAGGTTTGGCTTGTTTTGGGCTCAGCCCAGATTGAACTCATTTTCTAAACGAGCCAAAATTGAATAATTTTTTAGATTCGTTTAGAAAAACGAGCTCAATAGACTTGACTTGAGCTCACAAAACTCGGCTCAATTATTAGTCCTACTTCCTACACATCATCCCCGGTCATTACTATGTCATCCACTTATACAATGAGAACCGTTATCTTACAATCAACCCGTTTTCAAATTTTAACATAGCTTTAAGAAACCTGTCAAACTAAGCTCTGGGTGACTGTTTCAACCCATAAAGAAATTTCTTCAACTTACACACCTTCCCTTTCGTTAACTGAAATGAAAACCCTAGAGGGATACAATATATACCTCTTACATGAAGAAAAACATCTTCATGTCCAATTGCTTGATACTACAACCCAGGTTAACTGCACCAAAGAGAAGCACGTATAGAGTTCATCTTTGTCACCAGAACAATGGTTTCCTGATAAACAATTCCGTAAGTTTAAGTGAATTCCTTAGCAACCAGTCGAGCTTTGTACCTCTCAACTAACTCATCAGCTTGTTGCTTGACCATGAACACCCCTTTGCAACTAACTATCTTGCCCTAGTAGAAAGGCACACCAACTCTCATGTGTCATTCTTTTTCAGTGCTTTCATTTCCTTTATCATAGATTCTTTTCATTTAGAATTGGTGCGAGTGTCTTTCTAACTTTAAGAAATACAGAGGACAAAGAAGAGACAAAAGCACGATAAGATGATCATAAAGAATTATAAGAAACAAAGTTAGAGATGGGGTGTTGAGTGCAAGTTGTAACACTTTCTCTGATTGTAATATGAAGCTCAATATCATCAATTGGTTTATTGATGACCGAGAGTAATGGCTGGAAGTTGATAACTTGATAAATCAGTAGATGATGCTTAACCGAAGTTTGAGAATGTAATTCACTCGATGACACATGGGTATGCCGAGAATAAGTCTTCAAATTATCCTTGTCAAAACGAGCAGCAGAGGAATCACTAGTATCACCAATAGGTTGTGGCTACGTCTCCCTTTTACTAATATCCCACTAAATAAAGGACTTTTGACATACCATCTCTTACTTAATTGCAGCAGGCTCCTCCAGAAGAAATGACTGAGAAGTTAGGAAAAATGACTCAAATTCTCGAATGGTGACATCCATACTAACTCGCACCATCTGTGATGGTGGATGGTAGCACTTATACCCTTTCTAAGTAATAGAATAACCAATAAAAATACACCACGAGGACTTGGGGTCAATTTTTCGTCTAGATGATTTGGAGTCATGTACAAAACAAACACCCAAAATTTAGAAGGAAGAGAAGATATGGAAGGAATGGAAAAAATTCCAAAGAGAACATTAACATGTGATTGAAACTGGAGAATACTCAAACGCAGACAATTAATAATATGCAGTAGTGGTGAAAACGGCATCCCCCAAAAAGCTGGAGGAACATTTATAATGAACATTAATGATCGAAAAACCTAAAGAAGGTGATGATTTTTACACTTAGCAACGCCAATATGTTCAGTTCAGGAGTATCTACACAAGCGATTTGATAAAAAATGTCATTCTTATTAAAATATGAATAGAATTCTCCATCAATGTATTCAGTCTCATTGTCACTTCAAAGAATTTGTATTTTAGCATCAAATTAGTAACTCCCCATTTTATGAAAGGATCTGAAGGAAGAGAACACTTCACTCTTAGTGCAAATTAAGTAAACTCAAGTAATACGAGAATGACAATCAATAAAGGTGACAAACCAATGACAACCAAAGATAAATACCAAACGAGGAGATCCCCACACATCAAAATGAATAACCATAAAAAGGCAGTGCTTCAATTATTATTAAAAGGATAAGATGAACGTTTATGCTTGTTTTTTAGTTGAACTTGTTTAGCCTCGATCAGTTTATGCTTGACAATTTTACAAGCATCACAAACAAAAAATTGTCTATTACATTAGTTTAGTAGACTAGGAAAAAAAATTTCTAAGACACCAAAAAAAACCCAAACGTCTCTGTCATTGGTGGAAGAACAGAAGCGATGAACCACCATCTTCCTAAAGGGCTTGGAGTTAAGGATGAGGAACTTCAACATCCAAAAAATATACACCACCATGTGCTCTATTATTGAAAATGGTTTTCCCTGATTTTAGTTTCTAAAATATACGAGGAAAAAATGTAACTAAACGATTCAAGCAATTTGTAATACTGCTAACAGATAATAAGTTAATAAAAAAATTTTGGGACAAACAGAACACATGAGAGTATGAAGAAAAACAATTAATTAAACATGTCCTAAAAATAGATAATAAAGATCCATCCACCACTCTTACTTTATCCCTACCAAAACATGTAAGAGTATGAAGAAAAAAGACAGTAAGAACCTGTCATGTGATCAGTGACCTCAGAATTTATCATTCAAGGGGAATATAAGGACGAAACACTAAACGCACTAACAAATATACTGGAATGAGCCAAATAGGAAATAGAAGTCTGGTTAGAAACTATAGGAAGGAAAATATTAAGTCGAGCTATTAGATGCCTAAGAGTTTGCATCTCATCCTGAGAAAAATTAATAAAGGTGTTGGCACTAGATAGGGATGAAATCTTTGAAGACCAATTCATGTGATTGAACAGTACCATATCGGCCACCATCCCGCCCACGTGTAGGGTGTCCAATCAGTTTCCAACAGAACTACCTAATGTGTTTAGCTAGAAAGCACAGATACGGACACAGATGCCGTATTTGATACGATACAGATATGGGGATACGGGAAAGTTCAAAAATATAGGACACGAGTAGAACAATATTAATAATAAGAGTGAGCAAATATTAATTTTTTAATTAAAATTGAAATAGATTAAAATAAATTATTACATTCTAACATCATTACATTCATTGACATTCATAATATATAAATTACATAAAAAAAATTATATTTTTAAAAAATAGAAATAACACCTCTTTTAATAGTTTAAAAAAAATTCCTTGTCATGTCCTAGAAGTATCCTGACCGTTTTCTAATTGTATCCTAGCCGTATCCGACTCGGTCCACAATTCACAACACTTCTAGTCATGTCCAACACTACCACGGTACCCCTTTGGCAAGTGTCCGTGCTTCCTAGGTGTCTAATCTTCCCACAATTGTCGCACTTTAAAATGTCCGTGTCAATGGTACCAATCTTATTAGTATACTAGGTGCAGACTATTCATTAGTGGGAGCATGAACCATAACCATAGCTAAAAATATCCCAGTCAATGGTAACATAGGCATAGGCCACTTATAAAGTGACAAATGGGTTCCGTCAAAAAAATTGGACCCAAATCTAGTCATACTCAATGTTAAGGACGTCAAGAAAGTCGAAGACCCGTTCCTCTTCAACCATATATTGAAATTTCGATGTATCATTGCACAATCTACTTGAAAATTCTAGTGGTAGTCAAGCTCTTACTATAAAGTAGTCAACTATGCATAATAAGTTGCAAGAGGTTTATCCTTCTGACTGATTAGTCTCACAGACCTTCAAAAAGTCATCGGCTTTGGTATTGTTGCCCCTTTGATAGTAAGTATGAGACACAACAGTCCAAACCTTGTGTGCAGTATCAAGCAATAGAAACCCACGACCGATGGATCATTGCATTGGCTCAAGGAACCAATACATGACCAAGGCATTCTCAAATGTCCACTGCTTACTCCCTCGGTTTCTTACTTTCCCCTGCCAAATACCCATCTAAAGAAATAGCCTAGATCAACAATAAACAAGCCTATGACTATGCCAAATAACTGTCTCCACCTAGCTTCTCTAAAGCTAATTTGAAGAGAGTTGTTGGTGAAAGCCCCCACACAATTCAACCGACTTCCTCCAATATTAACAACCGCCACAAAAGTCAAACTATCTTCTCATATGTCCACACAATATGTGGGGGGAAAAAAACAAAATGGCAAAATCACGACCAAGGAATTGCACACAACAGCCAAGAGTGCACAATAGCAGCAAAAAAACCTCAAATCAAAGGTTAAGCATTGACTAAAGGTTAAGGAGCCTCAAACTAGGCTGAAACACTATAGCCGACCCTCAAAATTGCCCAAAAATCATCTCAAAACTGAACAAAATGCAACAAAACTTTAGGAGTATTTTAGATTCACCCTAGTTGCACCTCAACTAGGGGAATCGAATCAAGAAAAACAGGCGCAAAGCCTAGAAATCATAGATATGACGTTCAAATTCGAAAAAACCAAAAATCTTCAAACAAATTAGAAACTCTATCAAATGATCACAAAAAATTTCAAGAAAATCACTATAAATCTTAGAGCATCAATTCGAGTGTTCCATGAAAATGTCGAAAAAAAATCAGACCCTACGTCATGGTGACGTCATCATGTCAGAGGCTGACGTCAACCACTATGTTTAGACCAGAAAATTTTCAACTATTTCAAATGACTTTTAAGGCTTCAAATTTGAATCATTGTTTTGATACCAAGTTAGATTGTACAGTTATAGGGTTTAAATAAGGAAAAGAGAACTTAGAGAAGGCAAAGAAGCAAGAATATATCTAGGGTTGAGTATTTCACCACACAACTAATCCCAACTTATTTATAAACACAAGTACTAAATACCCTTAAGCTAAATATAAAGCAAAACATAACAATTTTGGTGGACATCGTGGTAATTTGGCCACATCATCTACTCCATTTCCTCTAGGTAATTCAGACTTGGTGCAAATCATGGTTCAAGGACTCGATAGCGACCATCGATTCGGAGGACATTGATACACATCACTAGTGTTCAATATAAGCATTTAAGAGCATACGGGTAAGTAATTGTACAAATTGGGTTATGTATTTAATTATAAAATTTTATCAAAAATTATAAAGAATTGTAGTGATTTATGTATGTCTAATTATATAGTGTAATTAATAAATGTCAATTATATATAAAAAACAGAAGTCAACAAAATATATTAACTTCATATTTTTAAGAGACTAGAAATTAAACATGAATTAGGGGGAAAAACCATTATTCAACACATTTAAGAGGAGTGAGACAAATGTAGGCTCTTTGACTTCACTCCTTAGCCTTTTCGAGGGAGAGAAGCTAAGGCCCGACATACCATTGAAGATCCAAGGTTCGAAGGTGAGAGTCGAAGGCTAAAAGACGAAGACCGAAGGAACAGCTTGCTATTGTGATTTGGAGACTAGAACTGAAATAGAACCACTTCCTATCGCTGCAAGCAAATCATAAGATTCAAGACAAAGAAGAAGAAAGGGGGGAGGGGGGAAGGAGTAAAATAAAAAGGGCTTTTTATATTCAAGGCTACACTATTTTATAGGTTTTGGGTTACAAATTTCTTCAATTCCTTCTTTTACATAATTGCAAAAAAAGGTTTGATGTAAGGTTTCTTGTTGAACAATGGCATGTGGGGTTTCAAATATGGGTATGATTCTTCAGTTCTAATGCCTTTTTCTTTCGCATCTTCTCCATTGACTGAGATTTTGTCAGAATCGGTTTGATTCGGATGTAAATCGTCCAAGTTATACCGAGTTGGACCGAGTCATGACTGATTCGTGAGAGACTCATGACATTCTCGCATCATATATCATTACAAGATTGGTAGTGGCCGAGTTGGACACAATTCGACTAAGTCATATCGAACTCGGTCAATACTTCAAACCTTGGTGTAGATAAAAGTGGTGCACATTTGTGTTTCATATTATGGACATCTAAACGAGTGACAATCATAAAAAAGTCTATCATAAAAATTGTGAAGCCATGTTTGGCAAATTCTAGATCAAAGAACTTGAAGAGCCAAGCACATGAAACATTTGACAGAAATTATGAAGTCATTGTTTATCCACAGATATATTGCTAGTGCATGGTCTTGCTAGTTCATGAACAAAAGTGCCACATCTATTTATAGTATACTACTTATAAATGTCAGCATATGTGAAAAACTTTTAATTTTCTATTTTATCCCTAATTATTATTATGAAGTCAATTATGTCCTTATATTTACCTTCAAAGTATTTGACTTTCAAATTCTTTTGGACTCTTTTATAAGTACTACAGTTACATAGAATTGTTTTATATCTATGGCTATATCTATAGTTAGATACTACTTATAAATGTCCACTTATGTGGAAAAATTTTGATTTCCTATTTTTTCCCTAATTTTTATTATGAAGTTAATTGCACCATTATAGTTACTGTCATCTAATTTTTGTTTTTTTATCTTTGACTTCCAAGTTTTTTAAACTCTTTTATATGTAGTATTTGACTTCTAAATTCTTTTGCACTCCTTTATAAGTAGTACACCTACGTACAATTTTTTATATCTATATTTATATTTATATGAAGAAGTAAATATTAATCTATATTCTATTATTATATACATGTAGTTATCAAATTGAATTCTAAGATCTAAGATTAATTTTTTTAATCTATAATTAGGTTTAACAAGAGATAAAATATACACTAATTCTATGGCATTAAATTTATTATTTAATTCAATTACACATAGAATTCATATTTTTGTAGATTCTACAAATAAATTATTATTTAAATTATTCACGTGTGAAAACAAAAATGAGTGCAAGATCTCAAGTTTATATTGAACAACATAAACAAAATACACAAGGTTCCACGACAATGAAGATCTTTAAAGCATCAGATATGTTACCTTGTAAAGCTCTTCATCAAATTGCGCTAATTGAGCACACTTCGCCATAATATCTTTTCTCATGAAGAATGGAGTCTGCAATGACGTGTACCCCCTTTTCTTCAAAAAATTAAGACCAAAGTTGATCAAAGCTTGGTTAAGACATACACCATCTCCTTTCAGATAGAAGCCTCTACCTCCTGCTACATTAGCACCTACAGTTTCAGACATTTCGATTAGCACACTTAATTAAACAAGTATGCAGTTGTGAGTCTTAGATAGTATGACAAAAAAAGTCAGCTACCATGATTGAGTCATATTCATTATTCAATGAGAATTGGCAACTCAGCCAACAAGAATAGATATGGTTCAATGCAGATTTGAGTAGCTGATCTAAAATAGCTGAAACTAGAGTTGGACAAGTTGAACTATGGAGCACAATAACGAATGCAAACATTAGACATTTGAAACAATGCAAGAAAAAATTCCACAATCCATCCCAAGAAACTCAACTAATAACACAAATGAAGACAACGACGCTACAGTTCATCAAACCCATTTAACCAAAGAGCATATCCATTCCATAAATACCACACACTATTACAAAAATTAACCAAAGATTTCCAAATTGTCAACAATCATTAAAGTGATTCAAGAGGAAGTTTGTCTCCTACACGGAGGCCAGCCTAGATCAAGATGCATACATATTCTGTTTTATGTTCATTTGTATTTCTTTTTCTTCTCATGTTTAGTGTGAGCATTATTTCTATTTATTCAATTACTTGACAAATGATCAAAATTTCACAAGCAAATAACCATGCAAGTTTTGAGAGTTTGGTGTAGTTTCTTGTGGCTTTTAGATTGAGTACAATTGGCAGAAACAATGTGGATTTGGATTTTGGAGTAATTTAGCGTGCAATTTCCACTCCATCACCGCAATCAACTAGAACAATAAAGAAAATCAAACTATCTTACATTGTTTCAGCTAACGGAGTTAAATACTGAAATCCTTGTCATGTCAACATTACATAATTGGGTAGGGCCACAGTATATGTGCTCGACATCTCTAGTCAGAATGCAACTAAGAAGCTTGTCTAGAAAGTTAATTTGATATTTAACTTTGGGTAAAACTTTCTTGATATGCTGCACTTTTCATGGTTATTACAAAATGAGACAAGTGCCCCTGCAAAACAATACTACACATAGAGACCCAATCAACCAATGATCATGCTTGCAAAAACAGTCATTTAACCCATTTTGAATATGCACTTCTGCCCTGGAATTTTATGATTATATGAATTACGAGGCTCAGACACATGCTAGCACTGACATGACCACCCAAGTCCAATGAGGGTGAAACTATAGTGAAATGGGGACGTGCCTGCTTGGTCACTAGAGCTCCAATCACAAACAGTTCATAGTGCAACACTAGATAATGGCAAATTGAAGCTACTCTTTTCCTGGAAGAAAAAGATAGACTAAACAAACAAAACTTAGTACCTTTCTTTATATCTGCAATTCCAAGAAGCTCAACAAGATCTACATGATTTTTAAGTTTTGGTTCGGACCTTGTCTCCCCCCAAGATCGAATTATGGCGTTGTTTGCCTACAAAATTATTGAAGAAATGAGAAAGAGATTAATTACAAATCCCATAAAACTCCTGAACAATATTAAGAAATTGATACATACCTCATCATTGCTAACTGGAACTGAATCATGCACAAGGTTTCCAATAACTTCCAATCTTGAATATAGTGCTGCTCGAGCTTCCTGAACTTCTGCTTCTTTTGTTGCAGTTAATTGCTTGTTATCCTCAGTATTCTTAATCATTTTGCTCGCATCCCCTCCCGACTTTTCAATCACCAATTCCACAATTCAGTTTCAAAACCAAAACCCCCAAGATGCAAATGAAAAGGCAAAGAAAATACTCAAGATCATTCAGCAGAAAACTAAACAAGCTTATTCTCAACCAAAATCTCATGAACAAGGTTCACATAAAAAATTGTACATATTGCAAAAATTAAAATAAGAGAGGATCTTTAATATCCTAATCACATATCCAATCTTGAGCTTGTGAATCGATAACAAAATACCTAGAGTGGTGTAAATCCATCCCTCCAGCACCATCTCAGCCAATTGGAACGGAATTGACAATGAGTTTTATTCTTAACAAACTTGTAAGGTCCGTGCCTATGTTTTAATTGCACCATTGCCCCCAATGAGCCTCCACAATCCAAAATTATCAATTTCCAATGAAGCTCTGAGTTTACAGTTTCATGTTCCTAAAGTACTACACTCCCCATGCTTCAGGGGTAAAAATAAGAACCCCAAGAACTGAATAGCAAACTGAAATGCAAGAATAAATACCTATTTTATAAAATTTGTAACCAAAAAACAAAAACATAGCAATCACGTTGCATTCTGTAATTAGGTTTGAGATAAAGCCCCAGAAGCAAATTATTAAAAATAAAAAATCAGCAAAACAACATGATCAGAAAGTCAACCAAAATACTCACAATTTTGAGCTTTGCTACTTCTTTGTTAATCTTGTTAAAATCTTTCCGCAACTGATCGAGCTCATATTGACCTACAAAACCACAAAAGAAACTTCCCCCAATTACACACAAACAGATTCAAAACCCTGAATCATGAAAATCCCAGCATGAATTGAATCTAGTAGAGGGTAAAAAGTGCAGAGGGATAGATGGTTACGCTGACGCCATTCTCTGTCAAGTTGAATGATCGCATCAACGAGATCAACGTTGGCGAAACGACGTCGCTGAGATTCGCGAATGATTTCGGGGTTGTGACCTTTATCTTCCCTGAACAGATTTATGTCCAACATTCTCTTTGTCTACAAACCAACAAGAATGCAATATATATATATATAACGCATATCTATCACTGTACATGTATACATACAGTGCAGAACCTATAGGTATGTATATGGAGAGAGAGAGAGAGAGAGAGAGAGAGAGAGAGAGAGAGAGAGAGAGAGAGAGAGTACTGGAGTAGTGGAAACGAGACGTCGGAGAGCAAGAGAGTGTCCGGCAGTAATGGGAGGACGGCTGAAGCACTGCGTGAGAGTAAAGCTGTGATATAAAAGCTGCGATATAAAAGACCGATATAATAAAAAAAAAAAAAAAAGTCCATGCATCTTACATAATCTAAAATCCTAACTAATGTAGAAGTCTTCATCCTTGAGAAGCTTAAATCTTGAGTGACCTTGTATATTTGATGAGGAGAAATAACCGGCTAATCCCCCTTTTTTTCATACAAAATCCATTATTTGCATAAAAATTGCTAAATTATCCTTGGAGGAAAAATGCGTTGAAAATCCTGCGTGAGATGCAATCTTCCTGAGGTGAAGATACTTGGAACCCATTCCCGACGATCGACCTCGTCAACTCAATACCACAGCCCTCTCTGCAAATCCCCTTCCCCACCCACCATAATCTCATCCACAACACCAGCAGATGTTCGCCTAAACTTTTGCAAACCCATACACTCACCCAGTAAACTCCCACTCCACAACCACGGTAAACACCCATCTCAACCGAAACAAAAAAACCAAAACAAGCAACATAATGCTGAATTTTTTCCATAAAACTTACCTAAAAAACTGTTGATTCAAGCGCCGAAGTTCGACCACCCTCCTCTGTAGTCGTCGCTGCTCGATAAAGTGGGGAGAGATGAGAAAAAGATTGCTGGCTAGGGTTAAACCTCAACACAAGGGCATAATTGTAATTGAGCGGCAAATCTAAGGCCGGCTCAACAATACATTCAAAAAAACGTGGCTTTATGCCCAGGTATAAAAAAGGTTTGAAATTTTAAATTTCAATAATAAAATATACATCAAAGGTTAAAATCCATTATAATTTAACTTAAAAAAAAATTCTTGAAAACATCAACAAAATAAAATTTAAAATTTACGTTCAAAAGTGCAGTCATACACATTTATTAAGGACAAAAAAATAATTAACATTTCGATAAAAAAATATAATAAGTGTCTCTCTTCTACAAATAAAAACAAATCAAACACATTTTTTACTTCTCTCAAACTCGATTTTGTTTTCATTTAAATACAAAATATCAACTAATTAAATTGCTCATTCTCATAAAGGATCCACAATAAAAACTAATTAATATAAAAAAATCAATAAAATTGTTATCAGAGAAAATAAAATACAATAAAATAGTTGGTGAATGATGATGCATACATAAACAAGTTAAGGATCATATAAAAAAAATTAAAAAATAGTAAAATATTTTTTTTTGAACTTGATAAAATAATTTAATAACATATAATAAGGAATTATGAATGTATATTGATAGTCAATCATGTAATACCACAATTTTAATGAAGAAACATACAAAACAAATTAATAAGAAGGACATAAAAATAGTAATGAAACAATAGATTGTATTTCAAAAAGTGCAGGTCAAGCAAGAGATGAGAGAGATAAACAGATGTATAAATTTGTTTGTTAAAAAATATATATTTA